AATGGAACGGATGAGAAAAGAAGATTGGGCTGATTCCGTAGCCCTTGTGATCAAGGAAAAAAAGAAAATGCGAAGAATGGAAGGGATGGTAGATACTGTTTTCGACAAAATAATAATAGACTGTGACTGGGGATTCCTCTTCAGACGAGAGCCGCTGGATTCCGAAACTTCATAAGCATAACTTGGGTAATTATTCCTTTACTTTGTAGTTCTCCTTCTAATGAAATATCATAATTATTTTGCAAAGTTTTCTGTTTTTTGAAGTACTATATCACGCACTCTATAACAATAAAATTTTAGTTTCTTTTGTTAGACCACTATAAGATACCTATCAAAATACACACATGATAATTAATTAATTATATCGGTCTTAGATTCAATTTCTACGTCATAACTTGTGTGTTTAAATAAATTGGTACGCCTATGCAAAGTTGATAAGGGGAATATTGGTTGCTCGCTTTAAGCGCGATATTGCCAATGAATCAGCTTCAATTGAAAATTGTTATAGCATAGTAAATATATTTTCATCCATAGTGTCCTATGATATCGCGTATGTAACTATACATTCATTAATAATCAAGATACTGTGTAGTGTCGAATGGGTAGTCGCCTAGTTTGTTTTTTCTTTATATCCTCCCCTTTCATTTGATCTGTCGCATGTTAAGATTCGATCAGTTGTTTATTTTGAACTCAGCCAGAGGCCATCTTTAAGTCAATAAATCAAAATTTGTCTGATAGTAAATCTACTTTCAATAGTGACATCTCATATCTCGTATGTAACTATATGTTTATTAATAAATAAGATGGTATGTAGTGCTGTTTTGGTAGTCGCCTTATTTATTTATTTGTTATCGCCTTCTCGTTTCATTTAACATATTACCCGCTTCACTCGGACCAATAACAACGGAGATATAAATATATTGCCCTTTAGGCAATGCTGCCTTGTTTGTTTGTCATTGTAGTAGTTACCCTCTCCCCTTTCGAACGAGATCTCATACATTACGATGCGTTCTTGGGCTGTGCAAAAATCTGTCGAGTATTTAATACTTTTTCCTCATCCAAAAAATGCACAACGTCGCTAAAGACGTTTGCACGTCAAAAAAGAAGGGTCAAATTGTGGTATGAACAGAAATTGCGCTGCACCTGAATCTTAACATGATAATCCAAATTTTTGGGCAGGAATTTGTTATAACAATTAAATTGTTTAAATGCTTATAACTAATAAAAATACAGTTTTTTCAAATCATCTTTTGTTTCTTTTAAAAAAATAAACCAAACAAACTTTGAAACCTTAAAATCGGTCCATTAAAAGCAGAGATATTGTAAGTTTATTATTAAAAAATAACAAATTATCGACTATATCAGACATTTTTGCTTATAACTTTGCTTTTGCTTAACGTAAAAAGATTTTAAACGCTTCATTTTAACGCTATGATTATAAACTTTAAACTGAATTTTGAAAAATTAAATTTTACCAGCTTTGGTGAAGTTATATGCATGATAAAGTGTAAAGTATACAATTTAGGTGTAAAAGAAATCTTATCTTTTTATAACGATTATTCGTTATAAACAAACGATTATTTCATAAAATTTATTACTCTTATAATGAGGAATATAGTACAATGAACAACGAACATTTTGAGATATTTTGAACTCATTTTGATGCAGTTTTCGCTAAAATAAGGCAATTTGATGTATAATAATGAAGATGTGGTGTAGTACCCTTTTGGAAATCGCCTTGTTTGATTTTTCTATCTTAATATAATCTTTATCCACTCCACTTTTATTTAACGACACACTCCAATCGGACCAATAACAACGAAGATATGATGTAATTGCCTTTTGAGAATGCCCCCGTGTTTGTTTTTCATCATTGTACCAGATACCCTATCCCCTTTTCAACAAGACCTCATACGTCACGATCTGTCGAGCCGTTCTCGGGCTGTGAAACTTGGCGACCAATTTGTGTAACGGTGACGGTCGCAAAAATCTGCCGCGACATAAAAAATAAGTAGTGTATTAAATAGTCTAGAATAGCACTGCAGTCCCTCTATGTTCATAACGTAGTTAATCAAACTCACATTTTTACATACATTTAAAATTAGGAGAATACATTAATAATAGGTTGCCAGTCAAAAAGTGGCCGCAAATATTTTTAATTTTTATTTCGTTCATTTCGCTGAACTGGCCAGCAAACACATCACGCCAATCATTTAAAATAACAGCCAAACCAACACAAAGCAAAATCACTAATCAGCCCAGAACAAATCAGACATAATAAACAAATCATGCCCACCACATAGACAAGAAACACAACACATACCAACACACACCACTCCAAAGCAAACACAACACACACATAAATACTACATCACGCTAATCCCGCAAAAATTTTCCATTCCAATTCATCCTCCACACAACAGGTCCTATTCCCAACATGAGAGAATGGGAACATGATCTGCAAGCCATCACAGACCACAGAAACATCATTTCCAAGCAACGTTCCACAAACAACACAAGTAACATCAAAAACACTCACCACACCAAAGAAAACACACACACAGAACAACACACTCCTATCCCATCCACCCACAAAACATCCACCCCTCACCACAATCCGTCACCCCAAAACTCCCCAACAATCACAAATCACACTCTCACCTACACACATACATACACACACCCACACACTCACTACACTACACCAAGCAATACCTACATAATCACCAACCACCAATACACAAAACACACAACACAAAGTACACGACAACCACCACACACCATCCAAAATTACAGAATGGAAGACATTCCTCCCGTCTTATTAAAGAAAACAACCTAATCCTAAGAATTAGACACAACAAAAGCCTTCTCAGCCCAAAAGGCAGTCTCTATACGAAATACCAATTATCCAGACCTCAAAAACCTCACGGCAAGACTACGTCAAATTACAGGAGACAACAATATCTCCATTAATTTAGGGTTCAATTCCAAACCTAAAGGCCCAACTAACTCATAAATCGCTCTAAATCGTCTACAAACCGTACACCTAGTCATTGCCGGAGTCGACAAAAACCTTTCTTTCCTGATTGTTATTTATTCTGTGGTATTGTCATCGAAGGAAAACGGATTGAATTGTGAGATCCCAATATCAAACAATTTCGTTCCAATTCAGCTAAAATACTGTTCGAAATGCTGCAAAACCAGACACCTCAGCAACGAATGGCTTGAAAAATCTATTATCTGCCCATATTGCGGAAAATAAGACAGATTTACTGCATGTTCTAAGACAGATGTTCCCAAATGTCCTAACTGTAACAGAAACCACCCGGCATTTTCACAAAAATGCCCACACAGAAAAATTCAGCCAAAAAACACAAAACAAACACCACCCGTACATACTGCCAAACCAATCTCCTCATACACACACACACACACACACACACACACACACACACACACACACACACACACACACACACACACACACTCTACCAATCACACAAGCTCACAAACCAATAAACGTACGAACACCAAAACAAGAAACAAACCGCCAAAAGGAACCAATAAACGTACGAACACCAAAACAAGAAACAAACCGCCAAAAGGAACCAATAACTATACAACACCCACACACACTAAACAGTGAACACCCCACACAGTCCTTAAGAGTCGCAATTCAAATTACAAGGATAGAGAAAGTTTGATTTTTTGTGGTTTCCCAATCTCATTGCACAATGACAAAATATGTCCTAGGTAAGGACACAGCCACAGCTATCCTTCACACGTTTACACCAAACAAACAAAAGGCCAACAATCTGAAAAGGACCGTTTTCCTAAGGAACTTTTACTTAGTAGCGGGCTTGGTCCAACCGGCACCCACAAAGGTAGAAGATCCTTTTGATATTACTGCTTTGTAGCCACCACGTAGCCTGGGAGAGCGGCAACATGCACAGATTGAGTTTCCCTTAACAAACCCCATCCTTGAAGAGGCAACAGAGCCTAAACGAGCTAAAAACGTGATCATCCATCCATTAAATAAAATGTGATTTATTTTTCTAGAAACAATTGAAGGTTTGAAGAATTGAAGATTTACGAGACACGCAGAAGTAATTTTTTTTAGAAATATTAATATTACAAAGTAATAGTACTATTGCGAGTTAAGCGCATTAACTGGATCAATTTCACATTACTGTATTTTACCGAAAACTTCATCAAAATGGGTTAAATAAAGCTCAAAATGTTCGTTTTCCATTGTACTATAGACCTCATTAACATGATACTATGTTTTTTTTTATCTGATACCACCGAAAAATTCGATTGTTTTAAATACCTAAATTGTATGTTTCATTAAACTTATCTTCTTCTTCTAGTTCCATGACCGTTATCGATCGTTGGATATCATGTTGGCTACCATATTCGCTATCGTGACTTTATTGACAGCAGCTCTAAATAATGATGTAGTTGATTTTCCATAATATTGCCTTAGATTTTTCAGCCATGATGTTTTGTGATTAAACTTATAAAATTGATAAAACTAAATTTTTCAAAATTCATTTTAAAGCTTATAATCATAGCTTTAAAATGAGCTCTTTAAATATTTTACATTGAGCAAAAACAGAGAAGTTATAAGCAAAACTGTCTGATCCAGTCGATAATTTGTTATTTTTTAATAATAAATTTGCAATATCTCGGCTTTTAATGGACAGATTTTAATTTTTCAAAAGTTTTTCAGAATCTCATGGATCTCAATTATAGGCACGAAACATCCTTTTTTCCATAGACTGAATACTGGAAATGAAGTTTATATATGACTGCTCGGAGATCGCAACTGAAAGATACTGCATAGATAATCTGCAAAAAAATCAAAACCCCCGAACCCAAAACCTCCAGACTCTGGGACCCAGAGGGGGTAAGAGAGGTAAACAAAAAACGCAAATGGTACGCTTGTGGGCACAGAATAACGAAGGAGAGAAGATCAAATAAATATAAAATAAGTTTACCTTAAATACTGAAAGGCAGGTATGTTTTTGGCCCAGTGAATTGATAAAAATAACAGCCGAGATCCACTTTCGCAAATATAATGAATATTTAAGTACGGAGGTACAGGTCCTGGTATCAATAAATTAAAAGACATATTTTGTTCCTGAAGGATCGGTCCATCATAATCAAAACATTTTTCTTCATTATTCAAAGCATTTATATTAGTTCCATTCAAACATTGAACTCTAGCCATCGTATCTAAAGCCTTCGAAATAAGCTGCTTGTCTCTAGCAGTAGTTAAAGCATCATTAAGTTCAGTTCCAGTATGGGCACTATCCATGGAAACATCATCTTCCATACTTGCATGACTAGGTGATAGGTGAAAGGATTCAGAGGTAGCACTGCTGTTAGCTAAAACATTTTAATATTTCAAAAGTTATTACAGAAAACAAAACTGATACTTTTATAAAATCTACTATATCTTTTATTTGCATGAGTTTTATGTTGTAATATGGTAAATCTAACAAAAAATTAACCACACTAAAAAAATTAAATATAATTTTGTGTTGAAATTGGTAGCCCAATCGAAATCCGAATCGGGGAACATCAAAACTATTTATATCCCAGAAAGATTTGTGCGATTCTAAGGCATACAAAATACACAGATGAGGGTTAGTTTTTGACTCACATCTGAAACCCAGTTCTCCACTTCCCACCAAAAACCAACGAAACTTCCTTATACGTTGTAACGATATTGTTCTTGGCATGTTAAGGGACTAATATTATCAGATATTTTTTCATTTTTAGACACCTTCTTGAATTTTTGTGTCATGTGTTCAGATCTGTGATCATGATTTTATAGATTTTAAAGTATTTCTCTTCATCTAACACAATAATGTTACTTTTTGTTCCTCTCCTGTCTGAGACTGAGTATTATCAAGGCTAATCTAATCATATTTATAGCTATTCTAAATAGTTCGTTCGATACTCACAATGTTTTTGTATGTATACAGGAAGGTATTATTCACATACGGATAAGAATGTTAAGATTCTATTACTAAAACAATTTCTTGATTTTTATGAAAATAGATCTTGTAATTTCGATACATATCCGGATTTCAACGTTTTGCTTGCTTGTTTCATTTATAATAGGTCCAAATTATTTGGAACTATTCGCTTTATTGCAATGTCTCAATGATGAATTGGAATATAATTGATCATATCTTGATTATCATAGCTGTGTAAATATATTTAGAGCAAAAAGAGCCTCCTTAGTGCCTAGCCCCTTTTCAATCAATTACAGGCTTCTGACTGGCGCGATTTTAAGAAATATCTTGAGGAAATGACTTACTAACGGGTATTGTGATGAATGTGGATAACAGCCATTCTTCTTATTTAGATACCGTCTACTGTAAGGAGGATGGTAATCATCATGGCCACTGTCATTTGTGATACTGCAGCTCTGAATAGTTCTACGGAACTGCATTTATACCACTTTAGACTGTTTAATCAAGAAACTCGTCTTCTTCCAATACTCCTCTTTCCTTGTATTTTGCCTTGTACCATCTTTTGAAATAAATACTTATCTCCTCTGATCAAATGACCCAGATACTTCTTTAATTATATTTATTATTTCTTTTTCTTTTTTCATTCTTTTCAACACGTAAACATTCGTCACTCTGTCTACTCAACTTATTTTTGATATTCTTCTGTAGATCCTCAAATGCGTCTAGCTGATTAATAATTTCCACCCTCCATTCCATAGAGCAACATTGAAAATACATTATTTTAATACAAATACTGCTCCAGCTTGTCCAATTCTATACAGTAATTATTCTCATTAATAATCGTACCAACATATTTGTATTTGTTAACTTTCTTTACTGGTACTTCACTTACATATATATTACTTGTTGTTGTGTTTTTGCATTTGTCATAAATTTCATTTTTAACATTTAATGTTAAAACTTCCTTTGCTGGTATCTATTACTTTTCTATCAGTCTTGTATAGTTTCCGCGATTAGTGTAGTGTCGTCTGCATATGTGATAATTTTGATATTGATTTTTGAATTAATTCTTTCTAGTATCAGTTAAACAATACTGGTGAGAGTACGCAACCCTGCCTTACTGGATCTCTATTTCCCCAAAAAATTATTTTCCCACTCTGTCGGTGTCAGTCTGATTTAAATACAGATGAGTTATTATTCTGATATCTCTGTTATCTATATTATTACCAATAAGCAGTTGAATGAGGTGATTATGGTGTACTTTACTGTAGTTAATAAAACAAACAGAGTGGTTAATTGACACCTATACATTAAATCTGAATTTGTCTCTTTTGTGCTCATAGCATTTCTAAAATCAAACTGGGATTCAGTAATTGTATAATTTTTAGAAATATTTAAAGAGTGATTCATAGGATTGATTATACGGTGGTCATACCTTTGCGATGGATTTTTTTGACAATGTTATAAATGTTGATTTAAGCCAATCTTTCGGAATATTTCCTCTACATCATACATATATACACACTTATTTGATCTTCAAATATTAATTAAATCATTTATGTTGGAATTGGATTTAGCTATATTTATTGTATATATTACGTCAGCCTTTGTTGTATTTGGTCCTACCTCTAGTTCTTTGTAATTGGCCATATGTTCTAGTCTCTCATCTTGGAACAATTTTCAAATATATTCCATGCACCATTTTGGTTTGCTTTGATATCAGGTATTGTTTTCCATTGTTGTTAAACAAGGTATTACTGTTGTTGATCGTTTTATGACTGTTAACACTTAAATTTTATTATGTAACTTACAAGTTACATTTCTGCAGATTTTTTTCTATCTTTCTATCTGTCCACATTTTTACTTTTAAAAAGTCTTCTTTTGTCCAATAGTTCTAGTATCTCAGCTGTCATCCATGGTGTTTTACTTTGGTAGCTCTAATGTTTATCCAAAAACTCTTTAATTGGAATCATTATTAAGTCTCTAAAAGTCTCCCATTTTTCATTACTATCTTCATTTGTGAAGTGAGTTGAGCTCTTTTTTGCTTAGTTTTTCATTAATTTTTAACTTTAACTCTTCTTTTATAGTTGGGTGTTTTAGAAAAACTAATTTTTTGTGTATTTAGTCGAACTTTCATTTTCTTAACAGGGACTTCAAATTTTGTTATGCTCCTAAATGTTTTTGCTGATTGGATGGAATTATAGTACCTTTTATTGATCAGTATATAATATATTTAGTTTCTTATCAACAGTTATTATTGAGGTATTGTATAATATCAGTATCGATAATGATGATTCATACTTGATAATATCAGGTGTTAAGCAGGTGTAATTTTATAGTTATTCACTATTTGTCATGATTTTTAATAATTCCACAGGGATTTCGTTGGATCCACTTACTTTTCCATTTTTAGAATTTTATTTGTGTTTTCTTTTGCCCCTTTTAATATATATATATATATATATATATATAATATATATATATATATATATATATATATATATATATATATATATATACAGTGTAGGTAAAAGTTTATGGTCGGTATGGTAAAACTTAACAGGATATCTAACACAGATATAAAATCATATTTTCAGCGAATAGACAAAGATAATCATATTCCCCCTTGGTCTCCCCTCCATAAATCTTCTTGACGCCCATTGCCTGTTAGTGAGACGATTAGTTCCGATCAGAGATATTTTACATATTCTGTGGTTCCGATCCTCATAAAGCTAAGAAACTAGAGGTGGGTCCTCTAGTTTTTTAAATTTTTACCGGAACCGTTTTTCGTAAACTGTAACTAGTTGATTGTTTACCAGTATACAAATTAGCGAGTACACAAACATATTGGCTGTTATCGTTTATGTGTATAAGTATTGAAGTGAAAGAAACTAACGAAGAATATATTTATTATAACTTGAAAAATAAATTAAACAATACAAATAGTACTTACATTTACATGGACTTAAGTCATCTTTATCAGTTTCTTTTTCTTGTACTAGTTAATTTTCAATAGTATAATCTTCTTTTTCTTTTTTTTTATAGAAGTAATCAGCTTCAACTATCAACTAGTTGATCGTTGATTCGAAAAAACTATGTTTTGGGTAGCCGTAAACACGTAAACAGAGGAGCAACGAACACTTTACGTCGACGAGGACGATTAGTTGATCTGAGAGACCACTACAAAACTACAAATAGCATGCGACTCTTTCGAGACAGTGGACAGTCGGGCTATTGGTTGACGTCGAAAATAAAATAACTAGGTATTCTGATTCATGAGAATGAGCTTCGATTTACGATTGATCTGCATTTTCGAAGGTGATGGATACTTCCATTAATAAAAATATTAGTTTATAACAAAAGAAACAAATATATATGAATTTACTAGAGACCGACCGAATGTGATTTTTTTGGCCGAAGCCGAAGCCGATGCCGAAGTTCGGCCTGAAGGATACCTTCGGCCGAAGCCGAAGGTGACTAAAAATATACCTATTACCTATTATATGTTAATAATTTAAATAATGTGCATTATATTTTTATTAACTGATAAGTGATAAACAAAAATATAAAATTATGAGATAAAAAAGTCAAATATTTATACATTATTTGGTAATAGAAGCGATAATAAAAATAAATAACATTAAAAAACATTAAAGCAAGTGAGTATTTATGATTACTGGATCTGGTAGTTAATATTCGAAATCAAACATCCTAATACTATATGTAAGAAAAAGAAGCTTGTCAGCGTTTTCTCCCAACAAATTATTTCTTCTGTCAGCGTATAGTTGCCCAGCAGAGCTGAATAACTGCTCACTAGGTACACTCGTTGGTGGTGCCGATAGAAATTTTTTGGCTGCAGTTTTTAAAGAAATATAGGGAATTGATTCCCAATAATGAAATATGTCGGCACTTCTTAAAAGCAAAGACTCTCGTAAATACGAATCTAGGTAATCTGCATTGGGATCGTTGTCGTTATGAATTTCGTTTGTTGTATCTAGAACGGCTGTGACAAAAGTATCATGTGAATTCCAAAGACTATTGTTTTCTAGATCTTCTACATGTGTAGTTGTAGATGATGATGTTGAAGCGATAGCCATAGGAACTTTATTTGTATAACTAAACTTAGAGCTATTAGATTCACGTAGACATTTTAAAATTCTTGCTTTACATGTAATTACTTCCTCGTCTGTCAAATATTTTGATTTAAAGCGAGGATCTAGAAGAGTCGCAATTGACAATTCTGGCAAATTTGTAATATTAGCGAATCTTTTAATTAATGATTCACGAAGTCGTAGCTTTAATAAACTTATCTCCTCAGAGTCCTGCTCTTTCGCAGAAACTTTACCATTTAGCATTTTTATTAGTGGGATAACCAATGATACACAAGCAGAATCGGCTGAAAGA